AATTCATTTTCAATCATTCAGCACATTGTTGACGACGGCCATGCATAAAACTATAGAAACCAAACCTGCACTGAAGATGATTTGTAAAAATTCGAAATAAGGCTTAATTTGCACGATGAATTCGGATAACAACAGTTTCATTAAATTTTCATTATGAACTTGGATAATAATTTTATTTTCAATAAATTGAACAATTTTCAGATAATTCTAGTATGGAAAATTGGATAGACAAACTTTAAATTGATCAATGCCAACAATTCGGTAGAATTCGTACCATACTGTATAAAATATGGTCTTATTTCAATATATATATATATATATATATATATATATATATATATATATAGGTAAATCTTTATTTATATATTTATATTGGTCATATAAATTATAAACGTACTTCTATCTCTTCATCAGAAGTTATGGTGTGAACTTGACACACGTAAAAACTAACAAACAAAATCTATATACAAATCTTGATACAATAAAAAACAGACCAACCGGATAACAAACAAAGGAAAAAAACAGTTCTAACACATTAGAAAAAAAACTATAATATAAAACAAGTTGTCTTGTATCTTTCTTCAACTTTCTCATTCACTTGCTTTTTCCCTCTTCTCTCTATCGGCCTCTCTCTCACTCTTTTGTTCTTTTTTTATTTTATTTTCCTGTTTCACTCTCTCTTTTTTTCTTTCTGTCCTCTCTCTCTCTCTTTCTCTCTCTCTTCTCTCTCTCTCTCTCTCTCTCTCTCTCTCTCTCTCTCTCTTCCTCTCTTTCTCATACATAAAAGCAATTTCATCTGCTGTTGATTTCTGTATTCTGTTGCTTCATCGTTTCTGATCAAAAGGCAGACAAATCAACTAAACTGTTCTGCTTGTAGATTGTATATGCGCGCCTTCTTCATTCGTTTGAATTTTTGCATATGTTTGTATTTCTACGTTTGTATCTATTCGTATGTATGTATATATATGTAAATATATACAAACAATTATGTTTGTATATTTGTATATGTTTATATGTTGGTACTAATGTATGCACTCTTGTTTGTCTGTATGTTTGTATGTGTGGGCATTATTAATTTATATTAGCGTAATTTAAAATGTGCGTGTATGTAAGAATGTGTGTGGTATCCACACAAGTGTATGTGTGACCTTTTTGAATATTGTACATTTAATACTCGAGTATTTTTTGTATCTTTTGTATTTATACAAATACCTATAATATTATTGATAACTGTATTTTCATGTTTATTTATAGTCACGCAACTTTTCCTGCTTATTTGTCATACATATACAATCCTAAGCAATAAAGATTTATTACACAATCTTCGGACATACATAACCTTACATTTATATGTGTGCTTACCGATAAACAATGTATGTATGTATGTACGCATATATGTTTGTATGTATGTTTGTTTGTAGGTAAGTACGTTCGTATGTACGTACATATTTAGGTATGTATGTAGGTAAGTATGCATGTGAATGTTCTAATTTATGGTTCCATTCCTCATACCGGTCTTATTTGTAATGCACGGGTATGTGTAGTTGTGTTCATACAAACCGATGATGAATACGTATCTAGAGAAAGAAAGAACAGGAAAAGAAAAAAAAACGAGAGAAAGAGAGAGAAGTTGAAGAAGGAGAGAGGGAGACAAATTAGTATCCGCATATGAATACATTAATTTATCTATAATTATCTTTAGCATAATATTCTGCGTGCCTACATCGTGTATGCGTGTGTATGCATGCATGAACGCGCGCGTATGAAGTGATGCATTAATACAATTACGTAGACAGACAAACAGTTGGACAGACATACAAACAGACACAGAGACAGGCAAACGGACAGAAACAGATAAACAGATAGAGAAAAGATACAAAAGATAGTAGGTAGCAGTGAGTTTTGATTTCTTATTTGCTGTTGTTTATAGGCCAGATGTGTTATTTATGCCCTAGGTTGGCGGATAGTGTAGCGGTTATGCGTGTGCTCTGCATTGCTTTGTCCTATCTCCTCGAAATTTCATGTTAGCTTTCTTACTGCTGCTGTCTCTAATTTGTCTGGTTGTTTTTGTAGTGTCTGTTTGTGTGTTTGTTTCTCTCTGTGCCTCTGTTCACGCTTTTGTTCATCTGTTATGTTGATGTTTTAAGAAGTGGCGTTTTACTGATGGATACACTGGTCTGTTGTCTTCTGTCTTTTGTGAATCGTGAATAATGATTTCTCTTTCTGATTGAAAAACATCGGCATCGAATGGCTGAGTTATGTGGGAATATTTGTTTTTCATGTATGAATATTTTTTTGTCGTCGGTGTATTTGTTTGCATGTATGTGGGTTGGTTTATATGTAAGTATCTGTAGAAGTATTTGTTTGCTTATGTCTGACAGTTTGTTTGAATGTGTGTGCATGTTTCTGCATACGAATTTATTTTTACTTTCTTACATCTTTTCATTATAGTTCTTTTTATGAAAATGATTAAGTTTTGCATCTTAGCATCTGTTTTCGTTTTATATATTTTCATATTTTTTAAAAATTTTAATTAAAATTACTTAGTTTTTTCAACCATGAACACAGATTGAAATGCTTCTCAGATTTGAAGCTAAAACAGCTGTTCTGTCATGGGACGAAACATGCTTAGAACATGGAATACTGACACACACACCACACACACCACACACACAGACAGAAGAACTGTGTAGTCCTTACTTGATCTCCTCAAACAAATGCCTCTAGCAATAAAACAAAAGAAATAATGAATAAGTTATTTATGCGGTGTATTTGTTGTCACCATCTTAATTTGCTCAGTTATAAGTTTGATGGCATCTCTGTTGAATGTGCGTGTGTGCACTCAACTCCAGTTGGGTCTTATATCTATGTGTACATTGAAATTAGTGTACAAATATCGGATATAATAAATGAACTTAAGGAACTATATTTGTATGAAAAATGTTGTACAATTAGCTCTGCAAATGCAATAAATAAACTTAATTATATGAAGAAAAGAATAAAAATTTTGATATAGAACAAAAACATGAGCGGACAAAGGACGGCTACACAGACAAACTCATAAATATGCAAACATATGCATGCATACATTGAACAGATCACATATAAAGTAGGGAGGTATCATTAATATACAACGACACTGTGGGATTCCTTCGAGAAAGTTCTACATACCTTGTTTATTTATGTGTGTATACAAGTACACATACGTACAAACACACACACAAATACACAAACAAACACACATACGCACACATACATAGATAATATTCCATCAAAAGCTAATTGATAAAGTGAGGAAAATGCATTGAAAAACTAAATCGTGATCCTTCTTTAATTCATCACATTTACATAACAATACCATTGTATAAACGCATGCATGAATTAATGCATGCATGCATTAATAGGATACACACATAAATTTATAAATAATTTTATATAATGTATACATTGTGTATGTTTACGTGTGTTGATTAGGGTGGTCACAAGAAATTTTTTTTCAAAATTTTATCGGGGGAACCCCCTAAATTGTGCCACTTGACTTAAATTGACATTTGTAACGTTTTAGCTCAATTGGATAATGTTAACCCGTGCCTCATCGAGGTTTAAATTTCGAAAAATTGGAAAATTTTGAAAAAAAACGCAGTTTTTGGTTTGTAAAATAAAAACGGTTCACTCTAGAAACATGATTTAAATTTTATTTTGTTCATTGATTAGTTTTCTTCAAATGTTACTACGATCATTATTTAGCTACAAGTTATAGTTTCTGACATATTTGCATTGTTACAGATACACATTGAAAAAACGTTGAATTTCTCCATAACACAAAAACACACAATAACTTAATTTGTTTATAAAGAAATGTTTTTAAAATAACACCGTTGTGTCTAAATCACTATTATTAACAAATAAACACATTTTTTATTCATATTATGTTGTTTATAGTTGTTATACATCAAATAAATTTCTAGTTTAACTCATTGTTCTAAAAGTAGAGACTCGGATAAGGAGGCTTTTGAGCAACAAGGAAATTTTGTCCGACATTCAGCAATTACTTGCAAAAGATATTGTTTTTGATCTTCCTCTTTTGTAATACATGATTTGTAATCTGTTATTAATTTAACACCCCTCTCTGCTGTATCATTTGTAACTTTTAATCCGTCCACAATCTTTTTACTCTTTAAATATTCTTCGTTATTACTCCATAATTCTGGATTGGTATGCAAAAATTGATCATTAATATTAAATCTTTTTAAAAAATTACTTGATTGTGATGAAATAAAATGGTCCACATTTTTGTCCAATATTTCTGATACTTCATTTATTTTTATTAGTGGTTTCATATCACAGTAGTCATCAAGTTCTTCATCCTCATTTGCTTGAGATATTAATTTTGTTGCCACCCTCTTTTTTACACAATTACTTAATGAATCATCGAATAATGAAAAAACAGCCTGCTCTGGATTGAGGTACCATATGTGGTTGATAAATTTTGAAACTGATATATCTGAGATAAATTTATTGACTATTGTAATTTACCAAGGATTTTAACAATTGTAAATCTTGGTTTGGAGCAAGTGCAGGTTTCGGGGCATCCAACCACACTTTCACATAAATATTTATAATAAATAGGCAAATATCATGGAATCCTTGCTTTTCAAAATTTTTCAGTAGAAACTGTTCTCTAAAAAAGTATATTTTCAACGAATATATTGCTTTTGCCTTCCACCTTCCGTGATGAAAAGCACCAGGAGCCGCAAACACGATGTTTTCTGACGGAAAGCGTTCTAAAAATATAAGACAAAGATTAATCAATTCTTTGTAATCGCTCCTTGGATGATGAACTGTTAATTATTATAGAAGATAACTTGAAATTTGACCCGGATTAATCAATTTGCTGGCTACACTTTTATCTTTAACTCCTGATTTAAATTTTTTTATCAATGTTGTTCCATTCAGTTTTAAATTTTTTGAAAATAGTCTGTAGTCTTTCCCATTTCAGCATCAAAAACGGATCTCAACACTACCTCCAAAATGTGGTGGCGACATGGAAGATACAATAATTTTTTCTTCATCAATTGCTCTAATAAAACGCAAGCACCTTTAATGCGGCCAGTATTCCCGACAGTTTTGTCAAAGGACATTGCTTGAATCTTGTCAAGTGCACTCCACTTTCCAAGTTCTGAATAAACAGATTTTGCAATTGTACTGCCAGCACCATTTTCTAATAGGGGAACTTCAATTAACTATTCTTCTTCTCCACAGTTAATTAAGACTGCAACTCTTTCAACATTTTCTTTATTTAACATATCTGGAAGTAATTTCCCATCCCAATGTACAACTGCTCCTTACCAAAAATGAGAAATCGTAGAAAAACCAAAAGATCTTAATATTAATACATAAAAACAACATATAGCACCCGGGTTAGTAATAGTAAATAAGTTATTGTAACAATGCAAATATGTCAGAAACTATAATTTGTAGCTAAATAATGATCATAGTAACATTTAAAGAAAACTAATCAATAAACAAAATAAAACTTAAACCATGTTTCTAGAGTGAACCGTTTTTATTTTACAAACCAATAACTGCGTTTTTTTTCAAAATTTTTCCAATTTTTCGAAATTAAAAACCTCGATGAGGCACGGGTTAGCATTATCCAATTGAGCTAAAACTTTACAAATGTCATTTTTTAGTCAAGTGGCACAATTTAGGGGGTTCCCCCGATAAGATTTCAAAATTTTTTTTTACATATAGCTTTGTAACCACCCTAGTGTTGATGAATGCAAATATATGGTGATAATACTCTGTGGATATTTGATATAAAATGTGATATATGCCCAAGATAAATTGTGTATTAAACCGCATTGTTGAATTATTGAGTGAACCTCCGTCTAATATATTTCGTTATATGAAGACTCTCGTTACTATGGCGCTGAATTTCAAGGCAATTCTATTGCTTCATAATCGGTGATTTCAACTTGATGGGGACGAAATAAATTATTGAAACCAACAAAACTGAAGAAGGTAGCGATTTCAGCTGAACGTGATGTTGGAACGTTATGTCATCTAGGTATTGTTATGCTGCTCGCTCTTCACCATCCTACGACGGTTACTGGGCGAACAACGTTGTCTCTTCTTGGGGAAATTCTTTCTGATTCTGTAAACTCGCTCGCTCAGCTTTAAATAACTCGATATTGTTCATGTACATCAAATAAAATGAGAGATGACTAATTAGCGATTTACGTGTGTTGAGTATTAGTTGGTGTTTAAAATGCTATAAAGTTTAATAATCGAAATCGAACGAGGAACGACTCACTCATTATTGTTAATAATGTTTTATTGTTTAATATTATAACAAAACTTAAATTTTAAAATGGAATAACGCTAATAAAAATAATGTAAAGATTATCAAAGTCTTAAAATGAGTTAGAGTGTGTTAAATCTTAAAAAGTGTTTAATAGATAGCTTAAATAAAACCTATATCTACTTATACCTCCTAGCCTAAATTATCATCTACATAATAGTATAGTATGTATGTAGGTAGATGTGTCAGAAATTTTTACAGGTTTCGTGTAGCAATGTTTGTCCCTCTGATGAGACAGGTTCAACTTTTAAGTTTGGAGGCTTTGCAGCTACAAGCAAACGGAATTCCTAATTATCTCGTGAAGGTACCTAATTATTTGTAGAAACTCTTTGATTATTTTGTGAAGACCCACAATCTCTATGACTATTGTGAATATCAACTTGGAAGAATTAGCTACAGTTACATCACTTGCCTATTTTTGTGGAGAGCTTTCTGTCTGTTTTCTGCCTTAAATAAGATCTTCGTATAAGAAGAAGACAAATATGAAAGTTATACAGTTTTTACTCCATATATTTTTGGAAGTAAAACCTGAAATGGAGTTGATTGTACGTACGTGCTGTAATATTAATGAGGTGTATAGGAATGATTTAGTATTTTCACAAAACGTTTTCAACGGTTATTTTATTTTAATGAGTTTCACTGACAACAAACTTAATTTATTTATTTTTATGTAAAACGTTGAAAAATTATAAAATCATAAAGTTGTTTTTTATTCACGATTTCATTTTTCACAAGGTTTTTTTTCTCGCAAAAATTTTTCAAAACAATTTTTTTTTCTGACAGCTTCTGGAGTTAATTTGTTAATGATTTGTTAACTGTGGGAAACGTGGATTAAACAAAATGTTATGAATAATATTTATTAATTTGTTGTCGTTGTTGTTGTAGTTAGTTTATATAACGTTGTTATTTTTATTCTTGTTTAAAAGTGCGTATTTTTATTTTATTATTTAGTTGTTGTTGTTATTTGTTGGTAGCATGTTTTGTCACAGCATTGTTCCACAAATTAATTTATTTGGAAAATTTGCGATGTTTTATGTTATTGATGTTATTGTTGTTGGGGTTGATGTCATCAGGTTTCTCTAGTTGGTGCTAATATATCTCTTGTTAATATTATAATTTTTTTAGTTGATGTTATTATTTGTGTTGCTGGTGTTAAACTTGCCATTCTACATGTTGTTATATGTTAAATGTACATTGCAATTAATCTCCGAGTGACCCTATGATTCAGTTCATTTTTCTCGTGACATCACCAAAACTCAAATGATTTTATGCCACATTCATGCGTGTGCTTGCGAGTGTGTGTGCGTGTGTGTGTGCGTGTGTGTGTGCGTGTGTGTGTGCGTGTGTGTGTGTGTGTATGTAGTACACTCTTGAATAATTGTGTTAATGCGTCAAATATATTTCAATCTATGTATAATGATTTATTGGTCTTGATGTGTGCATACTTTGGAATACAAATTTAAAATCATCCCGAAGTTACTGCGGAGTTGTTGGGATGTTGCTGTCATCTGCAGCCGCTCGGTCATTTTGCTTACTTGTTGTTTGAAGGATTGTTGTTATGTTGCGTTGTTGTTATGTTGTTGTTGTGCTGTTTCTATGTTGTTGCTATGCTACTAGCTATGTTGCTTGTAGCGTTGTTGTTGCGTTGTTTTCTATATTTTTGTTGTATTTTTTTGGTTTTTTGTTGTCATGTTGCTTCTTTTGTGTCGTTTTTTATTTTTAATTTGCTTTGATTTTACTTTTTATTGGTCTGTGCTTGGACTGTTGTTGTACAAAAGAAAAAAAATGTCGATGTTGGTTTTCATGCGTTTGCTGCTTGTTTCATTGCACCAAAATTTACAAATTTGTATAATGATGGATTGAAAATTCTCGATTATTAATAATTAACTGAAAAAACCAGAACATGAGTTATGAAATTTTATTATTCATTTAAATTTTATTATAAAAATACATCTTTGTAGGTGTTTTGCATTTAGAATTTCAGCCAATAGCGGAATTTATTTGGGAGGAAATGAAAGAAGACGTGTTAGGTTGGAATGAAATTGATGGCGTATGTATTTAATCAGGGCGTTTTAATCGCAGTACACATTTCAAGACCATGCGTGTGTGTGCGTGTGTGTGTGTGTGTGTGTGTGTGTGTGTGTGTGTGTATGTGCGTGCGAGAAAGAGAGAGAGAGAGTGTTTGTGTGTGAGAGAAAAAAATGTTTGTGTCTGTTTGTCGATGTTGTTGTTGATGGTTATGTTGATGTTATGATTGCTTTTGTTGTTGTTGTTATCGTTGATTTCGTTGCTGGCGTCTATGGTGATATTGTTGATTTTGTCAATCGTTTATTTGAAATACGACGTATTAAAATGTATGCAATGCATATAAAAAACGTATTAAATTTAAAAATAATTTGCTACCCTTGTTTATCTGTATCTTTTTTTTTCCTTTAAATGACGTCACCTACTTTGACATGCGCAGAGGACAATGTATCCTATAGACTGGTTGGCGCGAAGTACGTGAATGAAATAACTTCCAGCGAGGAAAAACATGCCGATGATGACGACGATGATGACATCTTGGAAGGCAACTGCTAAAGGGAATTGTTCTGGTAATTTTTTACTAAATTCGTGCAGTGGGGACAATATTTTTTTTTATTAAAGTTCAGTAAAACTCAGTTTTAGTCAAACATCAACCAAAAGTTGACGTGATGAATCTAAAAAGGTCACTAGGCTAATTTTAGCCACACTAGTAGAAACTCTGTTAGTTGCTTGGCCGCAGTAAAATTTTAAAATTTTAAAAATTTTCAAGTTACCTAAATGTTGTAATGAATGATGTTCATAAGAATGGTTATGTGAATAATTTTAGAACTGATTAAAAGAATAGTGATGACAACGATGAAAATGACAATGAAATGATAACTGGATTAATATGGCTGATGGAGAAATTAGGTAGAACTGATGACGGTGAACTGATGATGAAGAAGAGGAAGAGAAAGATGATGATGATGATGATGATAATGATGATGATGATGATGATGATGAGAATGATAAGGCAGCATCAGCAGCTTTTGAGGAACTGGTTAAAATTAAATTTGCAAATTCTGTTTGCCATCAGTGGAAAACCATTTCCACGTTTTCATTCGGAAACTGAGTTATGAAATGGTGAGGAAGATGATAGAGGAAATGATGACGAGGATGAAGAAGAAGATGATGATGGAGATGAAAATAATGATGAAAATGATGAAGATGGTGATTCAGAGGATGAAAAAGACAAAAACCATGATGGTGATAATTGAGTTGGCGATTGTGATATGGATGACTTTATGATGTTAATGTCAGAGTGTGCGACTGAATTCTGTTAAAGCGGTTAAGAATGATGATGATAATAATGATTATAAATAGATCAAATGATGAGTATCTCTAATGTTGATGATGAGGATGACGACGATGATGATTCGAAATAATAATGATGATGACTAGAGTAATTAAGTTACTTTTATGACAACTGATTGCAATCAAGCTAACGCTTGGGAAAGATAATGACTATGATGATGGCAATGCTTTTACTGCTGCTACTGCTGCTGCTACTACTGCTACTGCTGCTGCTACTGCTACTACTACTACTACTGCTGCTACTTATGATAATGATGA